CTCTACCTGCTGGACAAGAAAAAAAAAGTAACAGTTCCAGTTTCGAGGCCAGACCCACCGCTACACACGCCAACGCATGGAGTACAGTGTCCCCGAGTTGCTGCTGCTGCTTCCGACCGTCACCGTTGAGGAGCAGCATTTGCTGAACGGCCGTCTCACACTCTCTCTGGAGGACGCGGCCAACATCACGGACGCGTACTTCAAAACTGTGGAGAACTTTCTGCAGAGCCACCAACATCTAGACTATGAAAAGGATATCATTGCAGCAGTTGACGTTGCGCTTCGCCTTTTCAATGCCGAAAACTTCAGTGGAGAGCTTGTGCCCGCCGAGCGGGAGCGGTTGGCTGCCGTGCTGGATCGGTACACGATGAAGGACGAGCTCCGCGAGCGATACATGCAGCGACTGCTTGTGAGCGATGGGGAGATGCCGCACCCGTGCGTTCGCCTGAGCGCACTGCTGCTTGGTGTCCTTGCCATCGTCTGCAGCAACGCGCGGGGCGGTGCGCACCCACTCGTGCCACACCACAACATTTGGCGCCTGCGTGCGCACATGCGGCACCAGTTAATCCTCCAGCACCGCGCGCACTCCGTCTTCCTGCAGCTCGCTTCGTGCGTGGACGCGGCGGTTGGTCTCGCGGAGGCGGACCTCAGCGTTGAGCACCTCCTGGAGGTGGGCCACGTGCACAACTACTATCACCGCCGCGACCTCGCCGCTGAGACGTTCTGGCGCGCCGCCCGCAAGAGTGGCCTCTCGGTGAGTGAGGACACCATGATGGGCGTGCGCACGCGCTGGCAGAAGCAACAGCTCGTGCAGGTGGTGATGAACGCACACAGTGCGCGGACGTTTACACCGCCACCAGTGGGCGACACGCCTCGCGTTGTGATGGGCGAGAAGGACGGCCACGATCTGCTCGACCGCCCGCGGGAGACGGTGGACGCGCCGGCGCCGGCGCTGCAGCCGCTGCACCCGACCGACAAGGCCATCATCCTCGCGCTCTGTCTCGATATACGCAACACGAATCCCTACCACGGCCTCACGCAGCACCACATGCAGACGTACGTGGAGCGGCTGCTCGCCGACCCCGCCCCCGCGCCGTTCATGATTCAATGCCAGACGCTTCTGATGCGTAGCCGGCTGGAGCGGCGGCGCAACCGCGTGCAGGAACGTGCCTTCATGCAGATGACGGAGTTGGTCGACCAGCACGCCGCCACACGCGACGTCACGCGCGAGACATACCAACGTACCGACAGCGACTACTTCTATAGCGTCGCGTACCCCTCCATCTGGCAGCTCAAGAGTGAGTTTGCCGACTTCTGCTTCGAGGAGAGCCTCTTCAAGACGGCGCTTGACGCCTATGAGCAGGTGCTCGACTGGGAGAACATCATCAAATGCTGCAAGTCATTAGACAGGCGCAAACGGGCGGAATCACTGGCCCGCGATTTGCTCGAGACAGATCCGTGCAACCCGCTGCTGTGGGTCGCGCTCGGTGAGGCAACACGCGAGGTGGCTCACCTCTGGAAGGCGTGGGAGTTATCGCAGCACCGCTCCGCCGCGCCGATGCGTGCGCTGGCGAAGCTGTCGCTAGAGCGTGAGGAGTACAGCAAGGTGGTGGAGTACTTTGATGAGGCGGTGCGGTTGAACCCCGTGTTTGGTGGCGACTGGTTCACGCTCGGCTACGCGGCGATGCGCCTCGAGCAGTGGGACCGCAGCGGGGAGGCATTCACGCGCGTGTGCCAGATTCAGCCGAATGACGCCTATGCGTGGAACAACCTCGCGTCGGTGCTTCTGCGGAGTGGGCAGCTGCGAGCAGCGTTCAACGCGATGAGTCAGGCCCTGCGCAACAACCGCCGTGACTGGCGCATGTGGCAGAACTACTTTTCCATCGGCTGCGAGCTGAAGGAGGTGACGGAAACGACCAACGCACTGAATGTGCTGCTGGAGATCGCGAAGCGCAACACACGGCTCGAGCGCAGCTCATTGCACCGCTTCGTTGACAACGCGGTTGCGTACATGGAGGGCCGCATCCCTGCCAGCTCGAAGGATCAGGAGGACCCTGACGTTGGGCACACGCCCGTCGCACTCACTGATGACAGGAGTGACGACGACGAGGCGATGGGCGACATTATGCCATTCGGCAGCGATGTTGAGGTACCCGAGTCGTTCTTCGCGGCGGACAAGGCGGCGGCTTCGTTGGAGGCGGCCCGAGTACGTGCTGGTATCGTGGAGCGCTACAAGCAGCGCATGCGTGAGACGTTCAACCGCATTACCGATCTGTTTGTCACAGACCCGGAGATCTACGCCTGCGGGGCGAAGCTGCGCCGCTACATGGACGGCCCGCTTGCGGGGTGCGAGATGCGGCTGAAGGAGTTGCGCTGCTGCCAGCAGAAGGACCAGTGGGAGCGCGACGAGACACGCTTCGCCCGCACCTGCGAGTGCCTGCATCACATGGTGGACGACGCACTCGCCGCACTGAAGGACGCGGCAGCACACATCACGGCAAACGGTGAGGGAAATAACGCAGATGAGGAACAGCAGGAGCGGCGCAAGCAGGAGGAGCGTATCGTGGCGGTACTGAGCGACACAGTGAACAACATTGTGGCGGTGATCGATGCGGCGCAGGACTACATGGGGGAGTCTGCGGAGTACGCGGAGCTGCGGTCGTCGTTGCTGCCGCGCGTGCGAAGCGGCCTGCAGGAGGCCAAGGCAGCGTTTATGCTGGACTAACACGAAATAAAGCGACATGATTGAGGGGGAGAGGTTAAGAAGGAGGAGGAGGAGGAGG